TTAGAACCAGAGTTGGGTAAGGGAGTTAGTTACGTGTAAAGGAAGTATTAGTTCCTTTACTACGCCCCTTTTGGGTTCCCTATGATAGGCCAGCTTTTTATTGATAAATAAACCGGAAAAATACGCTTTTGCCCTTTTTATTTCGCGAAATTTAAAATTATGACTACATGGCCCTAATCTATTGCATAATTTAAAATTAAAGCAGTAAAAGTAGAGAGGGAGAGTTTAAACCTCTGAAGCAAGCTTTCTCTAATAATTTCTCAATAAATTGGGTGTGTTTTGGCAGCCCTTCACTCTACAGCGCCGGAAAACCTCTCGGAACGCTCGAAAACTCACTCTAAAGACACTCAGAAGCTCCGGAAATGCGTCGGAGGGATTCTAGAGAGAGAAATCCTAGAGAGAAGGAGGAGAGAAAGCTGTGGTGTGTGGAAATGAGGGGGGGAGATCCCCTATTTATAGGTTTTCGTGCCTGACAGTGGCGAGACCGCCGTTCTCGTCTGACAGGGTCGAGACCGCCGTCTCGCCAAACGAGACCGCCGTCTCGTCATGCCAAAGTGGTGAGACTGCCGTCTTGCCAAACGAGACCGCCGTCTCATCATTCGCAGGTGGCGAGACCGCCGTCTCGTTTGGTGAGACGGCGGTCTCACCTTTTGCGTGAGGCGAGACGGCGGTCTCGATTTCGAGAAGGCGGTCTCATCCCAAAAAGGCGAGAAAACTTATTTTTTGTGCAGAAAATCCCTCCTATCATAATATGGAGCCTAATAGTCTCTCCTAGTGGTTTTTTAGGCTTCATCCATCTTCAAATAGGAGGTCTTTTACTCTTTATTTAGAGGCGGGGCAAGATTTGGGGTCTACAACCATCATCAAAAAGATCAAAATCAAAGAATCCCCAGTAACCAACAAGCTGGATGGACATCAAACAGAATCCCCCGCACAAACCGGACGATCACTCTCAGAAGAGACAAGGATAAGAGAACACATCTCAACACTCGGCGCATGAGCTAGAGCAGTAAGCTGCCACCACAGCCAAAGGGTCAGCTACCGCAAGAAGGAGCATCCGGAGGCACAACACCAGATGGGGGTGTATACTCATCTGGCCTTACAAAAGGGGGCTTACCGGACGGGGGTTCATACTCGTCAGACACCAAATGGGGGTGTATACCCATCAAGCCTTACAAAAGGGGGCTTACCAGGCGGGGGTTCATACTCACCAAACACCAGATGGGGGTGTGTACTCATTAGGCCTCACAAAAGGGGGCTTACTAGGCGAAGGTTCATACTCGTCAAACCAAATGGGGGTTCATACTCATCAGCCGAAGGGATCAACTACCGTCAGAAGGAGCATCCCGGAGGCGCACAACGTACCTTTTCCCTAGAAGATCAACCACCGCAAAGACAGGACGTCTGAAGGGCAACCAGGCAGGAGGGTCAACTCCTTTACCCTCCAGTCGATCTTTTTGGCACAACAAGCCAGTAGTCGACTAGTCGGGTAAAGGGGGGGCAGTTGTAGACCCCTAATCTTGCCCGACCTCGTAATAAGATCAGAAGACCTCCTTTTCAAAGATGGATGAAGCCTAAGAAGCCATTAGGAGAGACTATTAGGCCCCATACTAGGATAGGAGGGATTTTCTACATTAAAATAAGGATTTTCACCTTCAAGGATCGAGACCGTCATCTCGCTTTTCGAGACCGTCGTCTCGCTTTTTGAGATCGCCGTCTCGCTTTTCGAGACCGCCGTCTCGCTTTTCGAGACCGTCGTCTTGCTTTTCGAGACCGCCGTCTCGCTTTTCGAGACCGCCATCGCGCCATGCTTGCAAGTCGAGACCACTGTCTCGTTTGGCGAGACGGCCGTCTCGCCACCTGCGGATGGCGAGACCCCCCTCTCATTTGGCAAGACGACCTTCTCGCCATTTTTGCAAGGCGAGACGGTCGTCCCGAATGGCGAGACGGCCATCTCGACCTTGTCAGACGAGACGGCCGTCTCGACCTTGTCAGACGAGACGACCGTCTCGACCTGACAGACACGAATCCCTATAAATAGTCGCGCTTTTCACTTCATTTCACACAATTCTTCGACTTTCTCTCTTGTAACCTCTTCAAATTCTCTTCCTAGAACCCCTCCGAAGTATTTCCGGAGTTTCTGAGAGTTTCTTAGAGATTTTATAGCGTTTCCTAGAGTTTTTCCGGCGTTGTAAAGAGTGAAGGGCTGCCAAAACGCACCCTAATTTTCAAGAGACTAATCAAAGAGCTTGCTTCGGAGGTTCCTTCTTTCTCTCTCTCTCCTTATTGTCTTTACTTTTATGATTAAATTGCACGATAGATATTAGGGCCATGTAGTCATTATTTTAATTCCGCAAATAAAAGGGTAAAAGCATCTTTTCAAAAAGTTTATTATTTAAATAGCCGGCCTATCATAGGGAACCCGAAAGGATCAAAATCAAAGAATCCCCAGCAACCAACAAGCTGGATGAACACCAACAGAATCCTCGGCACAATCCGGACAACCATTCCCAGAAAAGACAAAAACACAAAGACAAGAGAACGCATCTCGACGCTCGGCGCATGAGCCACCCGAGCAGTAAGCCGCCACCACCACTAGTCCTACGCAGTGGACTGTACCATCCTGATAAGGGATTCATACCTATCAACCTGCGCATGCGGTGTGCCTGATCTGCGCTCGAGCCGAATTAGTAAGTCGCAACCACCAGCCTGATGGGGGGTTCATGCTCATCCAGTCCGACGCACAGCGGACTATAACTACCAGCCTGATGGGGGTTCATACTCATCCAGTCCTACATAGAGTGGGCTGTAATTACCAGCCTGATGGGGGGTTTATACCCATCAAACGAAGGATCGGCTACCGTCAGAAGGAGTATCTTGAGGTTCTACCATGTGCCAACCGAAGGGATCGACTACCATCAGAAGGAGTATCCTGGAGGTGCACAACACAACTTTTCCCCAGAAGATCAACCGCCGCAAGACGGGACGTCCGAAGGGTAACCGGGCAAGAGGGTCAACTCCTTTACCATCCACTCGATCTTCTTGGCACGACAGGCCAACAGTCGACTGGTCGGGTAAAGGGGGGGGGCAGCTGTAGACCCCAAATCTTGCCCGGCCTCATAATAAAGACCAGAAGACCTCCTATTTGAAGATAGATGAAGCCTAAAAAGCCATTAGGAGAGACTATTAGGCCCCATACTAGGATAGGAAGGATTTTCTACATTAAAATAAGGATTTTCGCCTTCAGGGATAGAGACCGCTGTCTCACTTTTTGGGACCGCCGTCTCGCCATCCCTGCAAGTCAAGACCACCGTCTCGTTTGGCGAGATGGCCGTCTCGCCACTTGCGAATGGTGAGACCCCATCTCGTTTGGCGAGACGACCTTCTCGCAATTTTTGCAAGGCGAGATGGCCGTCTCGACCTGGTCAGACGAGACGGGCGTCTCGGCCTGACAGGCGCGAATCCCTATAAATAGCGAGCGCTCCCCCCTCATTTCACATAGTTCTTCCACTTTACCTTCTACAACTTCTTCAAATTCTCTCCCTAGAACCCCTTCGAAGCATTTCTGGAGTTTCTGAGAGTTTCTAAGAGTTTTTATAGCATTTTCGAGAGTTTTCCGACGTTTTAAAGAGCGAAGGGCTGCCAAAACGCACCCTAATTTTCAAGAGTATCAATAAAAAGCTTGCCTCGGAGGTTTCTTCATTCTCCCTCTCTCTCTTATTGTCTTTATTTTTAGGATTAAATTGCATGATAAACATTAGGGCCATAAAGTCGTATTTTAATTCTGTTAATAAAAGGGTAAAAGCGTCTTTTCAAAAAGTTTATTTATAAAATAGCTGGCCTATCATAGGGAACTCGAAAGGGGCGTCGTAAGGGAACTAACACTTCCCTTACACGTAACTAACTCCCTTACCTAGCTCTGGTTTTAACGACCAAAGTTGGTTTTCGAAAAACACCTCCTTATAATCTCACTAGGGATGAACACCTCCTCTGAACAAATCAAAGGATGAAAAACACCTCCTTATAATCTCACTAAGGATGAACACCTCCCTAGAATCACACTAGGGATGAACACCTCCCTGAACAAATCAAAAGGATGAAAACACCTCCTAAACCCACAAAGAATGAAGGAGTAAGATAAGAACAGTCACACCTGGGTAATGGAGACGTAGAAGCCTGTAGAATGCCAATCTCCAAGAACAAGTGTGATTAACAATGAAAGCACATAAGGTAGTAGAGAAGAGGGTTTTCTCAGAAGGTGTAAAATATCTCTGTTGCCTTGCTCAAAATTCTTTTCTCAAAACTGATTGAATATAAATTATATTTTCGAATTATGTAATTGTGTCTTTTTGATTTTTTTCAAAACTTAATTAAATAAAAAAATAGCATCAGAAAATGGTCGTTGGACATTAATATTTTCGTGAATAAAAATCAGGATATATTCAAAAATATTTATTCTTCAAAACAGATATATTTTTCAAATTTGAATTGCCATAATTGATTATGTTACCAGTATAATCAATTATGACAGAGAAGATTATTTTTCCATTTCTGATGCATCATAATTGATTATGACAATGAAAAATATCATGTTATGAATTTTATCACACTTGTGCTTTGGAGGCTTATGCATAATATTACTTCATCAACTTGTACCTCCATATCCAGTATTCTAAGACTCTATCTAGTCTTCAGGAATCATCTTGGGCTTGCTTGAATCATCATCTTTATCAAAAACATATCTTGGACATGTAGGGAAATGTTTCACATTGTCACCAACGTCTTAAATTCAGTTTGTCCTTAATTAATCTTGAATGGTGTTGACTTGAATGTAGTTGACTTGAATCATCTCTTGGGAATGTAGGGACATTTCCATCAATCTCCCTCTCATTGCTTTCATCCATCCCGAGCCAAACCCCTCTCCCTGATTCAAGTAGCTACATCCCAGCATCCCCTAACTTCACATTTGGCCAAGCTGCTCCCACGACCACCATCGCCCCATGAACTACCGATGTCGAGCCCTCCGTTTGGGCCACTATGTCGTGCCTCCACCTTCACCGCGCCCCGCTCGCCTCACCCGCGGTCCCCTCCATCTTGAGCCACTGCACTACCTCGACGACCTCCTCCCTAATCCCTTTTATGTTTGGTTTATAATATTTTAGGCTGGTGTTGATGCTATTTTGTTATTTTTAGATTTGTTTTGATTTAATAAGTCAATTTAGACATTAGTTCTTATTTTTAGTTAATTTTCGTATTTTTTCAGTTTTGTACAGTTTTCTTGTGGAGGCCATATCTGGAGCTACAGACCTTGGATTTGGACGTTCTTGGTGTCGTTGGAAAGATAACAAAAAGATATGAAACTTCTCTGTTGAACAAAAAAAAGACACAGCTCAAACTTTAAGGATGTAGAGTTTTGACTACAAAATTTCAGCCCTAGGTAGATTTTTAGATTAGGACTTAATGAATTGTAATTAGTGTATTAGCCACTTAAGCTTTTGGGCCAGGCCATATTTAGTCAGATTTAGGCTCCTCAATCCATTTACATATAGAAAAAACATTACATTGGTTTGGATCTTATTTTCTTTGTTTTAGTTTATTGTTGAAATTAGTTTGTGGTTGAAGTATTAGTATTGGTCATTCTGTTGTTTAGTTCTCTGTTCTCTGTGGATACATATATTTTGCTGTGTTTTGTTGCTTGTTCATAGTTGCAAGTCCAACAATTTGAGCAAAGAGAATTTTAAATTTGTTTCAATGTCTGTGTTCTGTTTTAGTGGGTCTATTTCAGTTTTGCTGCTACAAGGAACACTGATTTCCACCACTTGCATTCTATTATGTTGAGTGAAATTAAGTTCTTGTATTTTGCTATCTTTGTGTGTGTTGTTCCTTTCTGCAGATGCAACAAGACCAACCGGAGGAGAATTGGAAATTCTAGTAGCGAGAAAAAAAACAATGGAACAGTAATTCAATTGTTGCTGTAAAACAGAATTTTGTTATCATCACATTGTTTTGCTGCATAAACATATCTTAGACAATCAAATTTTTTTTCTGTTTACTATTTTCTGTTTTATTTTCTGCTTGCAGTTTCTATTTTCTGCTATTGTATGTAAATTCTTTTCAATCTTTTCTTGAATGGTTCATATAGTTGCACTTTGAAATTTGCCTTGCCAATTTTTCTGGTTGTTTTTCATGATTTTAGGAGTGTTTTGGTTCAGAGATTTTGTCAATTTATTATTTTTGATTTTTTTAGGCTTTCTATTGACTTTTGGTTGACTTTTGAATTTTTACCTTCTCTTAACCTTTGAGTGATCTTGTTATATGACTAGGAGCAATCCTGATATTTTGTATGAATTTGATCCTGAAATACAAAGAACACTTCAACAGTTAAGAGTTAAGCATAATAATAATACTAGTTGTTTACAAGTTTCTTAAATATTTCAGGCAACATTAAGAATTGCCAATCGCAATTGTTCTTTAAGATGAGATATTCTCTTTGCTTGGCTACTGACCGTGCATTCCTTTTACCTCTTTCTTTATTGAAGGAGTTGCATTAGGGATTACGAGGACTTGTGGCTAAACCTGCTGCTAGTATACTTGAAGTTACGGGAAAACCGCACTCGGTATTAGAAACCGTAGTAGACCCGAGTCAATTAAGACAACAACACTTCAAGGTTTGGCTTCAAAGGCCACTGTACAGGATACATTCAAGGGAAGAGTTTGTGAGTGCCCTGTTGTGAACAATGTTCAGTACAAGGGCGATGGTTATACAACATGTAAAGGTATGCATTTTCCAATCTAAAAAGTTATTTTAGAATATCAAAATATTTTTTTTCTTTTTTCTCATAAAACAAGATGGCTATGGAAGCCAGAGATTAAAACATTTCCTGTATGATTTGGAAGTCATTCAATATGCAAATTTCATGATTGAGAAAATACAGTGTTTGGTTGGTGTGGGATAACTTACACAGAAAACTTTTGGAAGATATAAAAGCCCCATTTCAGAATTGCTAAATTTGACTTATTTAAACCACTCATCTTTGTTTCTCTTTGTGAAAAGCTTTGTATGTCAGTATTACCTATGGCTGCTTGGGAATAAATTAATATAGCATTCAAATACCTATAGATGGGTTAATGTATATTTTGATTGACCAAACTATTAAAAAAGTCTTTGCATGGTCCATAATAAGAGGCAATTAAAAAAAAAGTCTTCTCCACTTTAACAAAGGCCAATATATAGTGGTTACTAAAGAATCATTAGATTACAAACATTTGAAAAATAAGGGCATGACCTCACAATACTCCAATTTGTCACATATAAATGCTTTTTAACATCAAGACCAAGACCAAACTACAGGGCAATATGATACACTAAAAACATCTCAGAACTTGTCAATGCATTAAAACAAAATAACATAGGTGAAATTCAAAATTCATTTAAAGTTTAACTGTAAATATTGACTAAAAAGGCAAAATGGTAAGTAGAAAAGCTAAAACAAGTCCTAAATTTGAACAACAAAAATAGAAAAAATGCATAGATATATGTGCACAGATGAAATTTCAACGATACTCTACTCCTGTAGGATCTGGTGAAACAGGAGAGAGTTTGAATTAAATGGGAAAACTTTGATAGAAATACCATACAAGGTAAGAGGAAGTTTAATTCATTCAATATATGAAATTGAATTGTTGGGTACTCTGTGAATAAAGAATAAGAGTAGAGATGAGTTATTTGAATGTTTGATTTTGAAGAATTTCTGATTCTGATGAACTGTTCACCATTTAAAAGTTTTTGAAATTCTTAAAATTAAGGATGAATTATATGGTAAAATTGTTGTTTTCAACTTAAATTAGATATAATTTATGTTTAATTTGAATTTGGGACTAGTTTGGTTGTCTAAAACAGAGTAATTTGAAATCTGCAAAATATGATACTATAACTGGGTGAAGGAAGACGAAAGGGATATATGGTGGGGATTTTTTAAAAAGATCAAGGGTAAAATAATCATTTTACATCCTAGGGACATAAATGTAATTATTGAAAATGTTCAAGGGTAAAATAGTCATTTTTGGGACATGGAAGGAATTTTTGAAAATGTCCAAGGGTAAAATAGTCATTTAGGGACATATATGGAATTTTCAGAAAAGATTAAGGGAAAAATAGTAATTTAATGATTTCGAAAAAGATTTTGGAAATGATTTCGGAAATGATTTCGGAAGTGATTTCGAAAATGATTTCGGAAAAAAGAAGAAGAAGAATATATATATATATATATTTAAAATATAGAATGAATGTAGCAGTTTTAAAGATTTAGTAGTGTGTTGTGACATGTGTAGGTCAGACTGGTCTAAGGGCTGATGCCCATAATCAGTCATGAGATGTTATGTATTGGCTAGACTAACCCGGAGGGTTGGTGCCCAGAATCAGTCACATACTATTATTTATTGACTTGAATGAGCCTTGAGGACAGGTGGTCCAGAATCGGACAAATGTGAATGATTTTTGTTGTGTTTGAATGGTACCCAGGGTGGTACAAAGTACATTAGTGTAATAACTATGTCGGAGGATTCTGAATGAGGTCTCAGATTTCATTGATTGGTCGGGTCAGGTAGACTACGAGATCAGGTGGTGAGAAGTCGATGGGGGGATGGCTGGTGGTGCGCTCGGAGGAGTACTCTAGTATGAGTGATGAAGGGCGCCAGTAATCCTACTCTATGTGGAGGGTGGTCAGAATGGTATTGCGGGTGCCGATCACAATGTGCCCACAGATGATAGCCTCTGAGTTCGGGCATAGTTAGGGTATACTTCCGGAAGGTGTCTTAGTGTGTTGATGATTTCGTAATTGATCATAATATATAATTATTACTTCTATATCGGTTTTATTATATCGAATGATTTAATACTTACCCCTATTTTTCCATTTGGATGGGACTGCGATGATCACTTTTATGTGGGAGCAGATCAGGAGTTGAGAGATGGAGATGTGACTACTGGACAACAAGGATAGTTCAGTGGGATAGCTTCGAGGGAGCTACTTTTACATGTATCATATATAAATAAATTATGTACTATATTTTGAGGTTCCGTTAGTGAACCGAAATTTCAATCTATGTTACAATTACAGTAATATATTGTCGTTATTTACTTGTTTACTATTTTGCGAAGACATCATTATAGTAGAGATTTCTAGTGTCGTTACAATAGTGGTATCAGAGCGGTAGTATCCTTGTAAATCTGTAGGGATAGGTAGTGACCCTATGATAAGTCCGTTGTGATTATACTATGATATGTGAGTGTGTGTGAATGTTTGCTCTGTATTGATGGTTGTGTTTGATATAGGATGGCATCGCGACCTCCTACTCCTACTCCACCGACTATAGATGCCCTAGCCAGGGCAATGGAAATGTTGGCAACTGCCATGCAGCAGCAGGCTACCTACCCGCAATGGAGGCCAACTATGGCATCATCCTTTGCTGGATTCCACCAATCAGAGCAGATGGGTATGACTGAGTTCATGAGGCATAATCTGCCTCGTTTTGAAGGAGATTTGGGTCCAGATGCAGCAGAGAAGTGGTTGCGTAAAGTGGAGAAGATTTTTGAGGCTACCTTCTGCCCGAAAGACAGGAAATTAACATTTGGGAAATACTTACTAGTGGATGAGGTTGAGTTCTGGTGGTCAGGGACTCAAAGGATGATGATTGCACGTGGGGAAGTGTGTAATTGGGAAACCTTCCATGAGAGGTTTCTGGAGAAATACTTCCCTGATAGTGTTAGATTTCAGAAGGAGATTGATTTCTTGAGTCTAAGACAGAGTAATATGACGGTGCATGATTACGCCGTACCATTTGAGCACTTATCTCTTTTTTACACAGGTACATCTTCAAAATAGTGGCTTTGCAAGAAGTTTGAGGAAGGCTTGAGGCCTGAGATCAAGCTCATGGTGGTTCCTTTCTCTATCAGGAGATTCCCAGAGCTGGTGGAGAAAGCGAAGACAGTAGAGAGACTTCAGGATGGAGGAGACAGAGTGATGAGGACCCACCCAAGTGGGGTCCCGAGTGGGGGTAGTAGATCAGAGAGGAGGATGCCTTATTCACGCCCCCAGTCTTCCAGGAGTGGCAATGTTACCCTAGCACCTCGATCATCGGGATCTCTATCTGGGGTGAAATGTTTTCAATGTGGAGGCCCTCATTATAGGAATCAGTGCCTACAAAATGCCTTCACTACTCCTTCCCAGACTTCTCGAGCAGGTCTTTGCTACACTTGCCAGAAGTCAGGACATATGGCTAGAGACTGTCCATAGAAGCCCAGTGTTATAGTCTCAGTTGGGACATCATTAGCACCCAAGGGGAGTGACGCGAAACCCAGAGTTGCAGGACGGGTGTTTGCCTTGTCAGGAGCAGAGGCATCGAGGTCAGAGAATTTAGTGCAAGATGTGTGTTTTATCTCTGATATACCTCTAAGAGTTTTGTTTGATTCAGGTGCTACCCATTCTTTTATTGCTGATAATAGTATGGATAAACTTAAGTTACCTGTGTGTGACCTACCCTATGAATTGAGGGTATCTACACTAGCAGCTGGACTGGTGATGTCTTCCTATGTGTGTTTGAGGTGCCCAGTTGTCGTAGAAGGACGATAGTACAAGGTGAACTTAATCGGTTTACCTTTGAAGGATATGGATGTGATCTTAGGGATGGATTGGTTATCCACCAATCGCATTCTGATTGACTATGGACAGAAGAGGTTGGTGCATCCAGAATCAGGAGATGAGCTTATTACATCAGCTCGGCAGGTTCAGAAAGAGCTACGAGAGGGAGCTCAGTGTTATTTGATCCTGACTCAGATGGATGAAGTGAAGGATAATATCCTGGAGGTACTGGTTGTGAGTGAATTTCCTGATGTGTTTCCAGATGAGATACCAAGGCTGCCACCTCAGAGAGAGGTCGAATTTGGGATTGATCTAATTCCTGGTTCAGGCCCAATCTCTATGGCACCATACCGGATGGCTCCAGCAGAATTGGATGAATTGAAGAAACAGATAGAGGATTTACTGGAAAAGAAGTTCATTCGGCCGAGTGTATCTCCCTGAGGCGCTCTTGTATTGCTAGTAAAGAAGAAAGATGGGAGCTCCATGTTGTGTATTGATTACCGGCAACTAAACAAGGTGACTATCAAGAACAAGTACACGTTGCCAAGGATTGATGATTTGTTAGACCAGTTATAGGGAGCATCAGTCTTTTCTAAGATTGATTTGAGATCTGGATACCATCAGATACTGGTTAAAGAAGAGGATGTACAGAAGACAGCGTTCAGGTCGAGATATGACCATTATGAATATGTGGTCATGCCGTTTGGAGTAACAAATGTACCTGCAATATTTATGGACTACATGAACAGGATCTTCCATCTTTATTTAGATAAGTTTGTTGTTGTTTTTATAGACGACATTCTTATTTATTCTAGAACTCGGGAAGAACACCAGGAACATCTGAGGGCGGTGTTGGCTATGTTAAGAGAGAAACAATTGTATGTCAAGCTTTAAAAATGTGAGTTTTGGTTAGACCAGGTGCAGTTTTTGGGACATGTAATATCGGCAGAAGAGATATTTATAGATCCTGCCAAGGTAGATGCA